TCATTGAAAAGCCCTAAATGTCCTCTCCAGATACCAAAAGGAATTAATTCAGTAGAATGCAGGGGGTGGGAGATATTCAAGTTTAGAAATGTCCTCTACAGAGGACAAAAATGAACTACTGGTAGTCTTATTTTTGTTTTACAGCTGAGCTAAAAGAAGAAAAAATAATAGTCTGATTTAATGCCAGACAGTGAGAATAAAATGATTGTCTTTTTTAAAATAGTTCATGTAGATCTATTTCCAACTTTAAACTGGTTTCAATTGAACAGAATCCGTATCATTTTAGTGTTGCGTAACATACCAGTAACACCATCAGCTACAGTGTCAATGTGCAAAACAAAATTAAAAGGAAAAGGACAAAATCAGGTGCACTGTTTCCATATTTTTTTTTTTGTTTAACCTATTGCTCTTTATCAAATTTGTTTCACTAAAGCTTAAGGATTGTTCCTATTAATCCTGCCTGTCATTTTTTCCTTTGTGGTCATGTGATGTAACATCCATATTCCCATTAGCTTCAACAAGTTGCATCTAAATTAATCTGGGGATGTTGAGACCACCAAAACGACTACACAAACACACAGAATCAACACATTATCGTTAAAGATGTTCATCTTCTTTAGTCTGCTGTTTTGCATTATTCCATCATTTTTGGAAAGATTGTTTAATTTTCTTAAGGCTCCTTCAGAGCAAGTTGAACTTTTGTCTGCATCTCTTTAATTAGAACCCTTAAGTCTTTATTATTTCTTTGACCTTTGATCTGTTGTAAGTCATTACCTTAATATGTTACCAGCGTATGAAGAGAATGTGAAGAACTCATTTCCCTTCTAATAAGCATGATTATTACAGTTGTGCATGAAGAAGTGAGAGCAGCTCGCTAATGACAAGAGCTTATAATATCTTCAGAGGCTTTGCGGAGTTTTTTCTCCCTATTTTTACAAGGCATTAAGTCCAGATGACTCCTGCATGACTCTTTCCTGTCCGTTGCTGGAACATCATTTTTTAAATGACTTTGTCTGTGGAGCGAGTTGAGTTTAAAATAGTTAGGTATTCGCATTTTGATGAGTTGAAAGGTAATTAGATTCTCATCAGAAAACTGATCCTGTACATTAAATGACTTTTTCATTTTGCATTTGTTGCTTTTTATTCACACTGTAGGGCATTTACTTACAGGAAAAAAAGGTGGCATCCCCTCTACCCCCCTGAAAAAAGCAATACATTATAATGTATTTAAATAAAAAGAAAACCAATGTTCTTTCAAAGGTCTTAAACACAGAAATCTAATGGGGGTTTTCTCATGGATTGCAGCAAAAACACAAACAGGTAGAGACTGACAGGGACCTATTGTATAAGACATTGCAATAAGTTATAGTTAGACTAGGCAAAAGATATTAAATTTAATAACATTACATTGCAATCACCAATTAGCTCCATTGTTCCTTGTTCTGATAACAACTCTGCATAATGAGTTAGATTAGCCTTTTATCTAGATGAAAGACTCAATTTTCCAACAGATTCCTTAGACATGAGTTAGGCAGGGTGATTCATGAATTTCAATTAAAATGAAAGACCTACCTTCTACTTTATTATGCCTTCCCTTCAGTACACCGGTTCAGATCTCAAGAGAAGGGTGCGCTTTATCCTCTCTCCCCTAGTCAAAAAACTTAATTTCCATATTTTTTTTTTCTCTGGGATGTGACACATTTGCATGTCCCTGTTCTCGCTGATCAGAATTTGCTGATTGAAACTAAATGAAATCAACTCATCATGGTGACATTGAATTTGTCTCCTCTTCCCTTTGAATACTCTGCAGGCCGTGGACTCATTGATTACAGGTAGTCGATCTCGCCACTTTCGTCAGCAGAAATGTTGCAGCTCTTCCTCCTTTTCTTTTTGCTGGCTAAATCTAATTAGACAGTTTTCTGCTAGACTACTGATGCTCAGAAATCTGCCCTGAATTATCTTCCCATCTCTGGTTTAGCTTTTTTTTTTTTTTTTTTTTGCCACGGTGGCATTTCTGCAATTACTCATGCTTGGTGGGTGTTTCAGATACGCTCGTTGTATCCCTACCCTGCTGTCGGTGGTGGATCCGAATCGAAGCCTGATTGAGTGGTGTTCTATAGCTCCTTCGTTGACCTCTCAAACAATAGCCTGGGTGTCATAATTTTGCACACAAGGAAGCTAAATTACTTGCAGCTCTTTTGACCAAAGCACAGCAGAAAAACCTGAGAGGAAAACGAGCAGAAGTTGCAGGAAGTGTTGGATGAGGTCTGATCAGTTAAGGGGACAGGCTGTCTGCTCCACTGCCCTTGGATTGTGTATCATCCCTCCACAGGCCATGTTAGTGGACCGCTGATTCCCATCAGGCAGGGGTTCTCTCTCGTCGTATTTGCCTGCTCGTCTCCTTCCCCAGATAAGAGCGAGTTTCTCTTAACCCCGCTGGCCAGATGACCTTGGCTGCCACAGATTTGTTCATGCTAAGTACCTAGTTTGCGATATTATTCCTTTTTGGTTTGAAATGTGGTGCCACAAAAGAAAAGAAGAAAAGGGGAAAAGAAATGAAAAGAAAAGAAAGAACAAAGAAAAACACCTCATATAGGTTCCTTTTTGTATCCACTCTAAAGAAAAGAAAACCATCCAGTTGGTGAAAACACTTCCAGGAATACTAATGCCCACCTGATCAATCTGGTGTTGTGTAGCTCAATATAAATGATCAAGAAAACTGCAGACTTAGTAAACACTGCGGTCTACTTGCAACATTAAAGCTTTACTATATGACAGAGCATTAGAGGTGATTTACAGCTTGTTCTTTTGTAGCTCAGCCTGCTGATAGCAACGTGTTCTGAAAAGTGACGTTTTCTGTCACTTGTGAGTCAAACTAATATGCCAACTAAGAAAAACAAGGCACATATTTGATGAACTGAATATAAATATGCTGGTTTAACGCAAGTATATTGACTTTAAGGACATTAAAGTGATTTCATCATGTTGGGTTTTATGTTTTTCTAACACTCAGCTGTAAATGGAAATATGAAACGTACAGCTTAAATGATTTTTCATAAACCATCAACTGTGTCAACAAGATTTTCTCTTATTTTTCTAGGGTCAAAATTATATACAGACTCAAACACATATCTTAGCTACTATTTATATTTGGAAAACTCTCTCCTTAGCAGCTTGAACATCATTCATCTTATCAAAAATGGTACAGTTTGTTTAAATCTTCTGGTTTGCTGGCTCTGACCTGTCTTTTAAATACATCCTTTAAAGTTTGTTTGCATTTCTTCCTTCTCTCTCTGAGTTTAAATAAGTTGGTGTAAAAATAATAGGTTTAATTTTTCTTGTAGGTTATCTAATGAGTCTAAAATGGATGTGTGTTTTTAATTCAGTTTTGTGTCCTTCAGTCCTCCAGTGAGTGCTGTGCTGAGTCAGAAAAAGGACAGAAGCACACAGAACAAAAATCTTATAACCAATCGATTCGGAGCAAGTCGGATCACCTTCCACCTTGCATTTATTTGTAATAAATGCTTTTGTGCTTTGCAAGCCTTTTGATGCCTTTGTCTAAATTTTGTGTGCCTCTCTGGCAAGTTTGGCAAGTTTTTCTTCTTCAACATTACTCTGTGACTTTCTTAAAAGCCCCTTTTCTTCTTATCTAATGTGATGATCCAAAGTGAAAAACCACCAAAGCTTCCATCAACCTTGGCCAGATAAGCAAACTGCCGCCTCCTTGCCAAAGGATAGCCTCTGGGTCGGTTCGAACAGTTGTTGTGCTGAGTAGAGAAACAGGACAGTGAAAACAGAACATGAACCGACCCAATCAGGCTCACTGAGATGTCAGACTATAATATCTGGACCTCATGTATTCTGCTTCCACCATCAGCTGAGAAAACGAGGTGCCAAGGTCTCTTTAAATTTAAATTCTTGCTTTTTTTTTATGCCCACACTTTTTCACCTCAAATTACTGTTAAAAGTGATAACATTATTGTAATATTATCAAGAGAAACAGCATAGCACTTAACAGACGATGCTTAGATGTAAGTCTGTTGTTTTAGAGTGCCGTCATCTGTTGGTGTAACATATTATCAGACCTCAGTGACTTAATAGCCTAATAAGCAGATGAGGAAGATTGTCTCTGTTCTTGAGACTGTTCTGGAGCCCCAAGAGCTGATTAGGCAAAAAAGGGACATTTCATATTATTATGAACACAAGAACGAGACAATCTTGATCATCCGCTTTACAACAGCAGTGTCCCCAGTAGGAGGTTTCACATCTGCTGCAGCACAAACTGCTACATAAGATCTTTATCACCCACAAACATCACCATCTACATTACTTTTTCAAAGAAACCTAAATTACAGTTCCCACATAAAATTTTCTTTTTGGGATTACTAGATAAATTTGAAATGAATTGAATTAAACTGAAATCAAGATATTTCTTTAAAGTCCAGAGAGAGACTAAGAAAATCTTTAACAGCCAATCTTAGATAATATTTGAAACACTCAGTGTAAATGTCAGAATTTGTGTGATTTATTGTGATTATCGTTTTTTTTTTATCCCTTTTACTTGAAGTATTTGGAAATCGACAGTAGTGTGAATATCATGCACAGTTATAAATTAAACCTAGAATCCCCTTGCTTCTTTTACATCTATAATAAAAATCCTTCCCAGGAATAGGTAGTGATTCATACTTCAAAATTAGTTGTTGATAGATTTTTGACAGATTATTAAAGTACTTACATACTTAAGAATTTGAACGAGTTGATTGTTGACACATTTATTAAAAATGCGATGTCAAGTACTGGAAATACATGGCAATCACGAGAGCCTAAATTAAGATTTATATCAGAGATGGAGACATTAAGTCTCTAATTTTACTGGATATTTTGCTTGAGCTGCATTTTAAGTATGCTACTTAGATTTACCTACATGTATCAATGCATATTTATGTATGCATTGATTCACTTATAAGTCATACTGATGGGGAAATATGTTTGTGTCTCAGCTCTGTGTACGGAGGAGTGCATGCACGGTCGCTGCATCTCTCCTGACACATGCCAGTGCGAGCCTGGATGGGGTGGACTGGACTGCTCCAGTGGTGAGTTCGCTTTCCCTCTGAACCTACAATTAGGCCCTTAGACACATTTGTTCCTAAATTGCTCTCACAGCCAGTAGGTCCATAAGACTTTGCTGTGAATCTGTTTTGCGTCCGTCTATCTCAAAGCTGCTCAGCTTTGTATCCTCTCTTCTTAGCAAGCACAGCCAATGGAACAGGTAAGTCACAATGAATTCATTCTCATTTGCTGGAAGTGGAAGTGATTTGTCTGATGAATCTAGCGGATGAATGGATGGTTGCACCTCTCTTGTGTCTACCTGACTCTCTGTTTTGGACTTAATCATGATTAGACCAATGCCTGTGACTTGTTCAGATGATGGATCAGGGCCAAGCGGAAACAAACTATTATGCTCGCCTCTGTGTTTGCTGGGCCTATACCTCGGCTACTGAAGCCTGATGGGAGGGTGGAATTGGGCAATCAGCAAAATGCTAGGGCAAAGTCTATGTTCTCCTTTCTCAAATTTATGTTTGGATAAAAAACATGCATACAGGAATATCTTATTTTTCACAACCATGACCCAGTAACCACTTTCTGCATCAACATTTCTGATCTTTAATTCATAACATTAACAGTTTACGCGCCCCAGCCCCCTACCCTCACTCTGGTGTTGAACAGCCACTGCCTATTGCTTATTTAGAAATGAGTAATGTCAGATAAAATCATATCAGTAGTGCTTCTGTATAGATCTATGAGTTTTCATTACCAAGAGAGCCATTCACTGATTAGCAGCTGTGTGTAAATCAGCCACTCTTCGTGTTGCCTCAGCCTGCTGCAGGTAGATTCATGGTCGTCCATGACAACCCTGAGCTGTTTGCTGCTGCTCCCTCTTGTAGGCTGGTGAGGGTCCAGCAAGGAGGATTTGAGGGTTTAGGGCCCTCAGGGGACTCTAGTCCCACTCTTGGTTAGTTACGAGTGCAGCCATGCGTGTGCTTTTTTTTTTCCCCCGGTCTTCCAGGTGCTTATCTGATCCACCTTGTTAAAACAGACTTGATGATTGAGACAGAGGCATTATTCATAACTTCATATTTCCATACTAGGCATGATTCCAGACTTTTTCATTTATGAGCCTTCATCTGCAGAAATTAGGAATGCGTGCCAATTCTTAAATTAAATCTGCCCTCCTTTTTCCTTTATGTAAATGGTTCAGCGTGCTTTCTTGTCTGTCACTGTAACTGTAAATTATATTTCCACTAATGCACAGATAGAGGATATATATATATATATATATATATATATATATATATATATATATATATATATATATATATATATATATATATGTATGTATTTAAAGAGAAAGAACTAATATTAAAATATAATAAAGTGAGTGCTTTATCAATAACAATAAAGTCAACGCTAATATAGATTATTATTTATTTAGCATTTGAACGGCCTGAAAGCAAAGGTCAACAACACAGAATTGACCCTGTGGTTTATTGGCTCTTTATTTCATCACTATTCTGCTTGGGTTCTTTGTTTGTTGGTTCTCGCTTAAAGTGAAGCAGAGGGAAGGATGTGCTGGTCACATGACAGAGGTTGTGTGAATGATGTGATAAAAAAGTGTGTCGCCCAGTGCTTGGAGATGAAGAGCCGCCGTGGGATGCTCTGCGGCCTAAAGCTGAAGTGACAGGCTTTCAGCAAGTGATCTGGAACTGGATCAAAGGCTCGGGCTGAGTTTCTGGTGCAGCACCCACCAGCAAGGAGTTTTCTATGTGGGTCAGGTAGTGAAAAATAAAGAATCGGTGGACAGTAGGGACAGGGAGCAGAAGGAGATCAGGTGGGAAAGATTCAGTTAATTGTTTTTGGTAAAGAAGATTTTGTTTGTTGTTTTGGGGTTTTTCTTTTTCCGCCTGCTAGTGTCCACCCACAGTATCCAGAAAACACTTCATCCTTTTCTTCCGCCTTGAGGGGTAGGCCCACTGAGACTTGATTTACCCTGTGACCTGCCTGGACCCCGAGGAGTCTCTGTTTCAAATCTGATACATAAAGCAGCTAAACAGGATGTAGACTTCTGTTTGAAGACGCATTCTTGCTCTGCATCTGTTAGTGTGAATTTGGAGCATTCAGATTTGCGTTTTCTCCAAAGACTGATGAATGATTAATTGTTGCTGTTGGGTATTTTGATAACTCTAATTCCTGTGTGTTGTGGTTGTGGAATGAGCTTCTGAACATTTTTTCTCTAATGTCTTGAATCTACTTTTTTTTCTTTTTTGCCTTCAGTTCAACATTTAGATGCATAAAAAGAGTGCTGTTTACTGTATACAGTGCTTTGCAAAAGCATTCATATGCCTTGAACCTTTTTCATTTGTTCATGTTCCAACCACAAAGTTTAATGCTTTTCACTGGGGTTTATGTGAAAGACCAGCACAAAGTAGTGCACAGCAGTAAAGTGGAAGAAAATGGAAACATGGTTAGTAAAGATATTTTTCGTAGATTTTTTTTTTTAAATCGGAAAAGTGTGGCATACTTTTATGTTCAATGCCCTTTATGTTGAATCCTCATGAATAAGCCCCAGTCCAAACAATTGTCCTCAGAAGACACCTATCTATGATCTAGTTCACCAATGTTTGATTTAATGATACTATAAATAAAGGTTATAAAATTGCCATCTATCTTTGAAAATCTTTTGGAACACTGTTCAATTCATCATCCAAAATAGGAAAGAGTATGACTGAAAAAGTGCCGAGACATTAGAATCTGTTGACAGACACAAGCCTTGAGACCAAACCCGAACCTTCTGGTTTGCATACAAATCGGTATGTTGTAGCAAACTAACACTGCCCATTAACCTGAAAACACCATTCCCTTCAGGAAACACAGTGACGGGATCATGCTTTGAGGATGCTTTTCTCCCGCAGGGACCGGGAAGCTGATCAGAGAAAAGTCAGTCAAGTTCAGACTTAAATCTAAATGAGTATCTGTGGCAAGACTTGAAAACTGATGTTCACAGATGCTGTCCATCTAATCAGACTGGGATGTTTTACAAAGGATACTGGGCAAATCTACAATCTCTAAACTGGTAGAAACATGCCTAGACTTGCAGCAGGAAGTACAGTGAAAAAGCAGTTTTATTTTAATTCAGGTAACAACTATGCACTTTGTTGTTTTGGTGTATTACATAAAATCCCATAAAATACACTGCAACTTGTGGTTGTAACATCCTGACATACTAAACACTTCAAAGGATATAAATGCTTTTTTGCCTAGCGCATCTGTTCATGTTCTTGTTTTCATATGCTTGATGCCTTCTTACCTGTTTGCCTTCTCTTTCTGTATTAAATAGCAATGTTTCTCTCCATCATTGTGTTTACATTGTTTTGGATGTTGCTTTTTTTCCCTTATAATTCGTAATAGGATTTTTACCATGTAAAAAATGGATGAAAAACAATTTAAACTCATTAGATCGGGAATGGCAGCAATTTTAGCGCAAGCTTCTCGGTTAAATGGAGCTCTGCTTATGAAAGTGAGCAGTGTGTCTTTAGTAATTTTAGTCTGCTGACGTGTTGTGCATGGATTTGAGAACCTAGTCATATTATTGGCTGATGTCTGCAGCAAAAGCAGTATGTGCTAGTGTGAAAAGAACCACTCAGAATGAGCGTGAAATCCAATCTTTGTATGATATTATGAGTTTATTGAATGAAAACTATATGAACTTTCTCCACAGACCCTGTGAGTGTCTGTGGTTTAAAATACATTCTTTTTTTTTTTTTTTGGAGTTGCAGAGAAATAACGTAGTCCTTTTTTGCTTTCATTGCAGGCTTCTTTTCAGCCCTTAGAGATTCAATACTGCCGATGAGTGTGTTTCACAAGGTCACTTTATACCACAGTAATTACAGTTTTCAAATAAAGAGAGTGATAAAGATAGATGTTGCATACACAAGGAATATTTAGCTGTAAGTGCCATCACTTGAAAAAAAAAAAAAAAAGGGTCTAAATATCGTGTCTCCATCACAAAACAACATGTTCCCAAGGCACAGAGATGACAAATGTTCATAAATATGGAGCATGTAGTGCTTCAGTCTTTTCTCTACACTGATTTCTCTTGTATCTACTGAGGTAGAAATGTTTGCAGAATTTATAATAATCAATAGTGTGAAGATAATCACCTGAAAAGCCACTGGAACACTTAAGATTTGTAAACCACAAAGCATCCCTTGTGCTCTTAAAAGAAATCTATCACACTTAATAGTCAGAGCTACTGTGTTTGGTCGGCCACGGTGCATGTGGTAACATATTCCTGCTCATTGTATTCAGATACAACCACAGCCACTGTTGTGTGTGCCGTACACGTGATTAACTGATAAATGTGGCCCATGAATGCATTTTTATGGGCTATTGCACCAGGTGGGATGCTACATTCTTCTTGTTTTATGTTAATTAAAAAGCAAAGTTTTCAGCTTTAAGGCTGCAATAAACAATTTGTTTTGTTAGATTCCAAAATGAGGAGTTGCAGTGATACTGGTTGAGGTCAGTCAGTGATGACAGGCTATATTTGAAGCTTCATTTATTCTCTTTGAACTGGTTTATATAGTGCCATGTAACAGCCTTAAACAATGCATATTATTGGGCTGTTCATGTAATACGGCATGACAAAGGAGCTCATGCTTGATTGGACAATGACAGTGTGGGGGCGGGGTTTTGCAAAAGATCAATCGTGAAGGGGAAGAAAAAAGAATATAGGGTTCACAAATACGTTTTTGGGGGGCAAAATAAAAATCTATATAATCCCCATTAATATGTCACCCCCAATAAAATATATTTCAACCAATTTCTTAAAGAAGTCAGCTGATTAAATGAGTAAATACAATCCACATGCAGGCACAAAGACCTGGCTGTGTCCTTAAAATTTACAATCTGGGTAAGAAGACAATTAATCAGAGAAGCAGCCAAGAAGCCAAAGCTAAATCTGGAAGAGCTGCAAATATTCACAACTTAGGTAGCAGAATATGCTGCCAAGACAACAATTTGACTTCATACAGCGATAAAAAGAAAACCATTGCTTGAAAAAAGAAATGACTAATTAAACAATATCATGAACACCAAGGAGCACAGCAGACAGGTCAGAGTTTAAAGTAAAACCAAGGTTAGGTCGTAAAACAATTTCCCAAGATTCCCTCAATTCAATGATATCAAAACACTTGTTACACTACAATCACA